TCAGTCTGTCCCTCAGTCTGTCCAGAGTCATATTTCAGAATCCTGTGGGCATGTCTATGACAATTTGTTTCAAAATCTGGTTAAGGATGGCCGATTGACAGCCATCTGACTTTTTGGCCTTACTACTATATTTCCACAATTTATGTACCATTTTCATTTGTATTTGGCACATACATCATACATATCAGTGTGTTTCATAATCAGATCAAAGATGGCCGAATAACGGCTGTTTTTATTTTTGGCCATATTACTACTAAACGGAACACGTGTTTTGATGTAAATAAACAATCTGTTGTATACACCACTTGGAACTTAAGTTTCAAGGACACGCTCGCAACAACCCCTCCACTTTAATATGACGAGCACAAAGAGAACTTAATTTAATGGGGACTGTGTCATTTTCAATGACTTGTTTTGCTTTACTAAATAATGGATCAGTATGTTCTGATTTACTACCATACTCATCCAGCTTAGTGCCCATGCGCGGTTAAGCACCCCCTACACTTTCGGGCATTTCTCATTTTTCAGGGTCACTTTCAGCTAAAAACCCATCCCCTCCAAAATGCCTCTAATTTAACTGTCTAATCATATAACATGGTCTTTAACCATTGTTTGACCTTTTCTGAATACTGGTTATCATATTTATATAATATAGTGTGGATATCGACCGTTGTCAATATGTAACTGTGCGTAAACTATGCATCGACAATGACCTGTTACAAAAGTGAAAGTCAGTAAATACCCCATTCCATATTAAGTTTCTTTAAACAATTGCTAATTACCAATTTAAAAAAAAATATGCCATTTTTTCGTTTAAATCAATTACAACAGTTGTGTCGGTACAACACAACATACTGATGGGTTAATAACAGATGACCTATCAGGACAAAGGCATTGTTGCAGGTCAAATCATGCAAAAAAACATCAAGAGTTTATGTACGATCAAACACATTAGACAATGAAGAAACTGAGGAAATTTTGACTCTGACTGTGTTCTGACAGACTAATAATTTTAACCCCCTAGATTTTTGTTCGACATAATTAATAATGTAATAATATGTGCATATTTCTTCATTGTAAAATTGTTGCTGAAATCAATGACTACACGACTAATTTCATAATCTGTTACATGGAAACTAAAGTTGTCATTTACATAATTTTTTAGGGGTGTGCTTGCGAGAGTGCCTACCTCCTAAAACGCGTGAATTAAAACAAATGACATGATGAATGCTGAATACCCTGGGTAATATTGAGTCGGATGAATGTAGTGGTTAACATAACATGTTTACTAGTTTATGAGATTTGAACACTGTGACATACACTTATTTATATAAATTTAATTTTTGAAGAACCAGAGACTGTTTGGACTAATAAAACTACCAAAAATGAGAATATTATATACTTATTAACGAGACACAGAGAATGTTCACTATTAATCAAGAATTTTTGCAATCAATTGAGATTATTAACGATATTGGCAATGTTTGCAAGTAATTTGACAAAAGTCATTGCAAAATAATGTGGTGATTTTCTCTGACTTGTGTGCTGGATGATTTCTAAGAAAGCAATTCCAATTCATTGCTACTTGTTACATAATAACATAGTGATCCTTTCTTTAATTTTAGACAACCAAAAGAACAGTTCTTGTCTTTAAATTGTCCAGTATTTGCCTTTATCTAGCACAGGTAAGGATTTTGTAAACTTTTTAACATAAGTGTTCATTACTCCATCAACTTTTTTTTCTTCGCACACCTGCTAAAGGAATAGACCATGGTGCTGTTTTATGCAAAATCAAAAATGGTCACCACCAAATAACCAATGCATACAGGTCAATATTACAAACACTATTTATTGCCCTAAACATATCTAAAATCAAAATGATTTAATCTAATCACAAAAAAATTTCTCTTAAAAACGCTAACCTAATTGCTGAATGGGTTGAATCACTTTATAATATTTTCAATCCAACTCTTTTTATATTGTGCTTCCAGATTGCTTTCAGACTATGCATCACAAATAGTGATCAGAAAGAAGACTGATTTGATTGTTAACAAGATCAGCAACTTTTCGATGGCACAAATCTTGACTAATGTTTTTTGATGATAACTAAAACAGGAAGTTGCTGGGGTCTTGTTCTGTATTCTCTATATTTACCTCAAATGTAATGCCATAACTGATCAACCACTGATAAAAGAGACTATAAAATATCAGCTATATTTATGTGAGGGTTTTGACATTTCTACTTGTGTGAGGACAGCACATCTTCTTTAGGTGACTAAACATATACAGAAAACAATAATTAATAAATTACATTGTCGTTATGACATTGCTGTGAAAGATATTCTTAGTTTAGTTCATTTGATATTCTGATCACAAATTGCAAAACATACAGCAGACTCGTTAGGAAATTTAATAAGGTCAAAATGGTAAGCCAGTAAAACATTTCAGAAAAATCAATGTCTAATGGTACGAATCAGAATTTATAGTTCTGTGCAGTTCAGAAAAAATATTCAATGGACTATCCAGTACTATCCTTGATTCAACCAGGTTCATAAGTGCAAATTTTAACTACATTTTTTTTGCTCTGTTTGTGAATTAGTTTCATTTAATTAATCTTGTCAGTTGCTTTGGCCTCTTCACTTATTCTGTAACATATTGGTGTTTGAACTTGTCATATCAATCATGAAAAATTTTTTTATTATTTTCCTACAGGACCAACTAACACATTGGGGACCGGGCACAATGGATGAAATCATGGAGCCGTACTTTGGGACATTATGACGCACGTCAAATACATAGTCGTATTTTATGTAGCAAACTGTAAACAAGCAGAAACAGAACTGTATGTAAATATAGATGGATTCCTTCAACTTATTCAACAGAGTATCCTTATTTTGATATACTACAATATTACTTTGGCTGCTCAGTGTAGTTGTTCGGGTGTGTCTTATTTACCTTGAATGTTTATGTGATAAAGTTCATGCTGCCATGACAGCTATTTAAAGTTACTGGTGATCTAAATAGTCTCTCAGCAAATTTAAGGATTGTCCTAGACTATTTGCCCTCGTAGATGCCTCAATCCCAACTTTGATTGAGATTAAATACATACATTTTTCTGTTGGAAATCAAATAATACACAATACTTAACATGTACTTAATGATGTAGTAGACTTTCGTTGGGCAAAACAGAAAAAGCTTGATAAAAATAATAATAATGATTAATGACTAACAATTTTTACATGTTGTTGTAGCCCTTGCATCACTCTATCCAAAAATTATGATAACACTAATGTCAACATTAATTACATCACGTGACTGCTAAATAAACAAAATCAATTTTTACTGCTACTAGAAAACAAAAACAGTTAGCCAACACATTTTTATGAGAAAAGGAAGACTACAATGTTCTTAACAATAATGTAAAAGAGATAGTTTCTGAATTGTTTGGTTCTTTTACAAAGTGGTGGAGAAGAATTCTGTTAGAGTAATAAATTAGAGTGCTCCGTTTTCACAGGTCAATTAGTAATGAATTATTACTGATACTTGAAAAATATTTTACATTTTGTTTTTTTAATTGATCTTGAGTTCAATCTCTGAAAAAATCTATGAAATCGGACAAAGAACTGTTTGCGTAATCGTGATTTTTGTGCTTGATTTGTTTAAACTTCACATACCAAACTTTTACCAACAATGGCTTTCATAAAATGGATGCTAATGTCTGTTGATCCACGTCATAGTTGCAAGTATGTACATTTGTAAGCAGTTGTTTTTTAACGCAGTCAACATGGTTCAAATGACTAGTTTCTTTTGCGGTTCTTAAATTTCGAAAAACAATTTTGAAAAATGAATGCATTAGGTGGCACGTATGTTTTAATCATACGTTATGTGCAACTAGTGTACAGCACTATGAAATCTAATGTGAGAATCGTAAGCTTTTAATTTCAATTTAGGACAGAGTAACTTTGTTATCAATGTGTTGGGCCGTGTGGCATTACGTGCAATGAAACTACTAAAAACTATCACTGCAATAATTGCTGCCAGTTGTTGTCATTACAGTCCTGCTAATTGTCTCATTCAACCTTTCCTTGCTTTATTTGGCTCACCAATGATTTTACAATGACTTGTCAATCATGATAAAGTAAAGCTACACATACAGGAACTATCTTTGTTCATTTCAGTTTGGCCTATGAGCCTAGTGTCACATTAAATTCAGTTTGAAATGTGTAATATTAGTTTCCCAGGTTTTGAATGTGACAGCGTAGATCTCCCAAGTGGTAAGGGCTGTTACTATTATACTTTTAGGCATTGAAAATATGCAGCTACATGCAGATTTTAGTGTTCTAGCTTCAGTCTTGTACTGAACAATTTTGATTTTGTATTGTCATTGTCTAGGTCACTGTTGAATGTTTCCAAATTTTTGTCAAGTATTCAAAACATAGGACAAAGTATGATTATTAAATTGAGGCATATTGGTGTTGATTCATAAATTACTAGGCATCTATGAGGCCAGATAGTCTAGGAAATCTATCAAACTTGTGAAAAACTGCAGCAAATAGAATTATGAATGTCTTTTTATGTTATAACCCCTTCCCTCAATTTTGTGTCAGAGACGAACTGAAAACTTGTTTATTAATGATTGACAGCAACTTGTATTGTGTTGGTAGGCAGCGTGACTTTATCAAAATATTATTAGACTTTTACCTAATAATACAGCTGGTGCTAATTGTCAATAGAAAAATGATTTGACAAACCGAGAAAAATGTGCATTTTGCAATATGAGAAGATTTCAGTAAATACTTTAAATGGATTTTGTATGACCAAATTTATTCAATTCCCATTGACATTTTACATATAGATTTTTGTTTAGGTGGGTTATTATGTTATGAACTACGCTGTGTGTTAGATTTACATTGATTGTCGAATCTACTAGCAGGTGGTTTAGTGTTAGGTGTACACTAGATGATGCTTGCTTGTAGTTTGTCAGTTTGTAGCAAGAGTGTGGTAAATAAGACTTGTACACTCGGTTACGTTGGTACTAATTTTTACCAATGAACATTCACAAGATGCATTGTGGGTATTTGTGCATCGCTACCAAATCTGTTTTAACAGTTCATCTATTTACATTTAACATGCATTTTTACTGTGGTCTACACCCATAATGCAACAATAGTGCATTGTGGGTCTCTTTTTTTTCTCACCTTGCAACATGAGAAATAGTGGTATAATAGTCAGGGACAATATTATTTGTTAGTGGTCCATGTTACATGTACCAAGGAGGGGGTACTTTCTTTTCTCTGTATTTACATGAATCTTGTACACCAGCCAATGAACATCTTGAATGTACTTCCAATCAAACATGCTTGTTTTACCTCCTGAAGGCGTGAGAGGCCTGCCTGATTGAGAGTAATTGCAGATGGTAGACAGTGTTCTCCCTGAACAGGGCTTCGTTGCCCCCCTTGCCATCTTTGAATGGCTCTTTGTGGTAGCAAATAATTTAAATTTAATTACAACTATAGTTATGTGCATAATAAAATTAGAAAAGTACTAGTACCACTGTAACAGTTGCATAGAATGCTATGTATACGTCCCATTCCCCAAGTGTCGTCATATGTATTCCTTTGTTGTTGTTTCCCTTGCTAACAAAATGCTAGGGAGAACACTTATAGATCTATACAGTATATGCAAATCAACAAGCGACAATATGAGCTGCTATTGGTTGGGTGTACAATATACCTGTATGTATTCAGACCTTGGTTGACTCATAAGGTATATAACTTAATAAGCAAATTAAATTTCTGGAAATTGTTGATATTTGCTTTGTTTTTCATGCCCAAAAATTGACATGATTACTGCCAGTTTGTGTATAACTTGATTTACCCTTTGAATGCCAAAACTTTTGTCAACTGTTGATCAAAACCTTCAGCCAATAGTACATTTTGTCTGTTTAGTTCAAAACAAATTACGTTCATAAAAGTTCAACAAAAGTATACCAGGTAAGAAGTTCATAAAATATTGAAATTTTTTTTTTAGTAAAATTACAAGCATGAAACATGCAATTTGTTAAGCTGACCTATTTGTAAACAGTTAATATTTTTCTAATCTTTATTAATCGACCAGGGTCTGCTCCTGCATGCAGGGGAGCAAATGATTTTATAAGACTCCCTAACACCTTGATAAATGTTTACATGGACCACCTAAGTTTATGAGCAATATCATATCAGAGTTGGTGCGTGTGTATTCCACTTGTATTTCAGTAGTTACAAGAAAAATGGCTATTTTACAGGACCAATCTTTTCATCATTGTATTTTCTTGAAAGTGAAGAGATTATTAAAACTATGAATTGTCTATTTTTAATAAGCAAAAAAAGCTGCAAATGTTTGTAAATTTTTTGAAATATATACAGGAAAATCTTAGAGGAAATGAACAGCATTATTTCATGGAATATTTTTTTTATAGAAATTATGAACATTGTTATTAAGCAGCCTTTCAAAAAGGTATTTGTAAAATTTGTGATGAAACTTTTCAATTGAAGATTTTTTGTGTGTGCGAGACTTTCGTTTTATTCAATTTATCGTATTTGACCTTGTCACTTATTAGTTTATGTATATTTGATTGCATTTAATGCATTATTATGAAGTGACTTTAGCCTGGAAAACAGATATCGATGTACTGGTTACACTCGCCATAATAGTATCGAATATGTATTCCTGGGCAATCAACTGATTTCACAGTTGAAAAGTTTTAGAAATTTCAAAATATTATAAAAAGTTGGTAATCAGTAAAACGAGAATCTTCTACACAGGATAGAAGTGACTATGAATTGGGAGGTTCTCAAGTAAGCTCATTCTTTTTGGCCTCCGTATAAATAACATGTCTAATATTCTTACGAAAATTTACAAATGGTTATGAATTGCTTCGCAGTACTACATTCTGCAAATGAACTTAAAAGACATCAAATCAAACCTGTATCAAATTATTGAACCAGATTTGTTCACACATTGTTCATATTCAGACTAAATCGTAAAAAAATAACTTATTTTTGTGGGCCTATAGTATCAATTTTATACTTATTGGTACACTTATTTTGTTCTTAAAACAACAAAATCCCCCAAAATAGGTCAAGCTATATGTATTGTTGATGAACCAATGAGAATTAAATTAAAAAAATGGCCCAAGTAAATAATACGATAAAGTTGTTTTGTCTGATTATCAATGAATTTTCTGTTATTTTCTAGTACTCTAGTAGCTAGAGTTATTTTACTGTAGAACACTTATTTAGAAGTTTGAAGTCATAAATAATCTTCTATTTCATTTATCAGGAATAAATGAAAGTTAAATAAGCTAGTAAGTACAAATCTTTTACAGTCTTGTAACCGGACCATGATTCCATCATTCGCACCATTGCATTATAGTCTGGAAGAATTAGCGCTTTATCCATGTAGATTCATTTAAGTCAGGTCAAACTTTTGTAATGTATATACAAAGTAATTTGGGAAAAGATATTGCCGATATCTTCCTTCAACAAAAACTAAATTGTTGATATGTGCATCTGTTTTTATTTGTGAACTGTAAGCACTCCAACGCATACCAAAGAATAGATTGTTTTTGAATGCAATTTTCCATGCTCTGATCACACCAATCAGAAGTGTGAATTCCAATATGCCTACTTCTAATATGCCATATTTGCTTTATTAGCAGCACTAATAGAAATACACGCAGAATACTTGCTTACATGCTTGGTCCTTTAAATAGGATTTATTCTGATCCTAGACTCACATCA